TTGAACGCGAATATCTTCGTAATCGTTTGAAATAACCCAATCAAACCCGGTATTGTTGAATTCGTTATAATCATCCCTAACCCATTATGAGATAAAATAGATGGTGTTTCATTTGAAAATCGAAAGTTGATGTTATTTCCAGGAAATCCAGAAGATGAAATAAAAAATTTCTAAAATCAGGACAGTGTCCTCTAGTGAGCATATTCGATGTTGCATTTTTCAGGAATATTGCTAGAACAACAAAGGAGAAGAAAGGGTATACCATGAATCTCTGTGTCACCCGGTATGCCTTGCTCCTGCAAATTTCAAAATCCTAACTCTACAATAAGGAAAAATACAGAGGGGCTCCTATTAGGAGTGAGACACACTGTATACAAACCCAACGGATAATATAATTTAATATTCAGCTTTCCATAGAGGTTTAAAACATTTTATAATACATATATGGGGTGTTCCATTTGAAAAAATTGACGCGGACCTCATTACTCAAAATTGGATAACCCTGTTTATTCAATTTTCTCCTTATAAATGTGGTAAATTGAAAACAAGAATCGTCCTGTCTCAGAAGATTCCTCAGGAATGAATAATTTGGCTAAAAATGAATTGATTCAGTACTTCACGAAAACACTGTATAATATATATGTACTTAATCGCTCTTGTGAGAAGACTAATTCTCACTATGGATTGCTAGATTGATTTTTTATTCCTTGGAGTAGGTATGGAAATAGATTTATTTTCTCGCAAAGTAAGAAAAGATTAAAAAACTCACCAGTATGAAATCTGCATGTAGTCCACATAATAATTATGAATTCTCAAAACACTTCACAAAACACCGACACAACACAGAATAACGCGATGTAATCACTATACCGAACGATGTATTCAATAGACTATTATCACTCTTTTACGCAGTTGTAGAATCAAAACAGTTCTTTTTCTACGGCTATACCACAAAATTGCTTGATTGTCTTGTTTTAATGAGGTACTTTGTACGCCATCAATTTCATTTCCGTATCTGATATCACAATGACTTCTTTGTGTTATTATTTCACAAAATTTCATCTCCCATCATGAAATGTTAAATTTCAAGCAATGACAGCTCTGTCTAATAGATGAGCATTACATTACTACAAATCAGATGGCTACATAAGCCGAAGAAATAAAAAATCTCACTGTTATCTGTTACAGCCGTAAAAAAAGTATAGTGTATAACTCGCACGGAATGCTAATTTCTGTGCTAGTCAAACAATACGGGTTTTTCACGATGAGCGTTAATTATAAGTTTCTGGCAAACCAACAAAACGATGCGGCGTTGTCGCTTCTATTAAAAAGTAACAGCAACTTTGATTCTTCGAATGGAACAGCCTGTATTGCATTGCTATAAAGAGCTAATTTCATCAATGTATCACACTTGGGGGTCTAGTGGGGATGATCACAGAAATAAAGGGTGGTCAAAATCGAGATTTTTCAACTTAAGTATTTTTTTTTTGTCAAAACTCTTCATTAGTCGAAGCGGCCGTCTCAACTTTTGATTCACTATTTACTGACATTTAATTGGAACAGATACATGGTGTTCAGAATTCTGAATCATAAACCACCATGAATTTTTTCTAATTAAATGACAGTAGATAATAAATCAAAAGTTGAGATTGGGACATGGAAGCCGTTTCGACTAATAATAGTAATAATGTATAGTTTTGACACAAAAAATTCTGAAGTTGAAAAATTTCGATTCAGAACACCCTTTAACTCTGTATTCGTCCCGCTAGACCACGAGTTTAGTGTGATACATTAATGAAACCAGCACTCCAAGGAGAAAATGCAATAGAATACAGGGTTGTTTCATTTGAAAAATGATAGTTGTTGCTACTTTCTAGTAGAAGCGACAACGCCGCATTGTTCAAAATATTTTGGACGTATAGATTATGTCAATTTATACATACCATAAGATTTTCAGATTCATCGGTTGCTTGATTTCCCAGAAACTTCTAATTAACGCTCATCGTGAAAAACCCTGTATACTATTTCGCGATATACACTAGATTCTTGCTTGATACGATACGAGCACTTCAAAACCAACCTTACGCGATGACATCTAAACACAAGACTGACATGATTCACCAACTCGTCCCGAATGACAAATTAGTTGCGTCACCTTTCTATCCTACCAGTTCCCGAACAAGTATTCATCTATGACTAATAATAATAATGTACTACTGATATACAGGGTCATTTGAAACGATCGTCTCAACTTGAATATTGCGAACTTCTGGTCAACTTTCTAATTTCTGAAGAAAAAAGAAATCGATTTATTTCCACGTAAAGTGCCTATCACGTGTTAGGAAAGATTAAAAAACTCACCAATATGAAATCTGGATGTAGTCTACACATGAATTCTCAAAACACTTCACAAAACATCGACACAACACAGAATAACGCGATGTAATCCCTATACCGAACGATGTATTTGAAAGACAGTATTATCACTCTTTTTAAAACACAGTTGTAGAATTATAACAGCTCTTTTTCTACGGCTATATAACACAAAATTGCTATTATTTCACAAAACCCCATCTCCCATGAAATGACACATTTCAAGCAATGACAGATCTGTCTTATAGATGAGCAACCACTTAAGACATAAGAGAAAATCAGACTGATATACAAGCCGAAGAAATCAAAAATTTCGCTGTTATCTGTGAAAGCCGTAGAAAAAGTATAGTGTATTACTCGCACGGAATGCTAATTTCTAATTAAAATGACCATCATTCCGTGCTCGTTAAATAATACAGGGTGATTCAAGATGAGCGTTAATTAAACGGTTCTGGCAAACCAAGCACAGATGAATCTGAAAATTTGATGGTTAGTATACTTGACATGATCTACCCATCTAAAATATTTTAAACGATGCGGCGTTGTCGCTTCTACTAGAAAGTAGCAGCAAGTTTGATTTTTTCAAATGGGACACCCTGTTTTTCATTGCATTTTCATATTCTCCCTGAAGAGCTGATTTCATAAATGTAACACACTTGGGGTCTAGCACGGAAGATGACAGAGATATAGGGTGTTCAAAATCGAAATTTTTCATATCGAGGAGTTTTACATGTCGAAATAACTATTCATTATTTGTCGTAACGGCTTACATGTCCCTATCTATATTTACTTACATTTAATTAGAATATATACAGGATGATCAGAATTATGAATCCACCCTGTATTTGTTTCAATTAAATGTCGGTAGATAGTAAATCCAAAGTTGAGATAGGGACATGGAAGCCGTTTTGACCAATAATGAGTTTTTCGACAAAAAAAATCCTGAAGTAGAAAAATCCCGATTTTGAACACCCTATATCTCTGTAACCATTCCTGCTAGACCCCAAGTGTGAAAATCAGCTCTTCAGGAAAAATCTGATAATGCAATGAAAAATCCTAGGAAAAATCATAGTTGCTGCTATTTTCTAGTAGAATTGGAAACACCGCTTCGTTCAAAATATTTTAGACGTGAAGATCATGTGAATTTATACATACCATCAAATTTTCAGATTTATCTGTTGCTTGGTTTGCCAGAAACGTCTAATTAAAGCTAATTATTGTGAAAGCCATGTATACTATTTCGCGATATGCACTTGTGACTAGATTCTTGCTTAAAACTGATACAAGCACTTTTAAGTAGACCGTACACGATGACATCTAACATAAGACTGACACGATTCATCAACTCGTCCCGAATGACTAATTAGTTGCGTCACCTTTCGATACTATCAATTCCCGAAACAAGTATTTATCTATGACTAATAATAATAATAATAATAACGATATCTGAATTACACGGGGTGGAACATGGAATATGCTACAGATATACAATACAGGGTCATTCGAAACGACAATCCCAACTGAAATGCGGACTTTTAGGTCAACTTTCTAATTTCTGGTGAAACACATTTTTTTTTCTCGTATCAGCTTATAAGTCTAAATATTATTATTGAAAATCACATTTTAGTGATAACTAGGTGTATATTATGAAATTACCGGTTCAATTTCAACTGATTAAATCACCAATATTCATTTGAATGAATTGGTAAAATTAATTTCAGAATTGAATTGAATGTAACAGGAGAACATTGTTATATTATTTTTCGGATCAAGAACCATTGTGTTGAAAAAGAATCATACTCCAATCTAAACCATAATGAAGCTAAGTGTAACTATTTACTTTTGCCACAGCGAGTTAAATAGTTAGGATGAAAGATTACATTTTGTTTTTCCTGAATAATGATCAAGTCAACAGTTTTTTAGAAAAACTGAAATTCAGGATGATATTACGAATATTGAATCTACAATTGCACCAAAATCGGATAGAATTATGAAAGTAACAGGGCGATCGATTTTGTTAAATGTTTTTTCCGGGTTTTTATGTCGGGGTGAGTGTAAATTGGCTCTCAAGGGGAACTTTTTTCTCTATTTTATGTTCGTGGAATCAGAGATAAGTAACTTATCTCTGGTGGAATCTAGAAACTATGTATTCTACGCCAATTATCGTACAATATTTATTATTATCACTTATAATTACACAAAATCAAATTTTTTCTTGAAGTGATCATTTCAATGAGAATTTTGTTGTCAGATCACGAGTATTTACCCATGTATTTCATATTTTGACATCCATTCCATTCATTTTCAACTTCAATGTTCCCATCTTATCCTCCATTTTTCTCATTTATCATTTGTAAACACATATAAAAGTTTTCTTTAACCACCTTTACCAACTAATAAGGAGCTGGTAAACCTAAGGCAGAGATAAGTTACCCATAACTTATCTCTGCCTAAGGGCAGAGAAGTGTCAACATCCTTCGAACCATTCCCATCACAAAAATGTGTTGAGATTTGAGATTCGTATTTTTTTATGATTGTTTTTCGCAATAACATTGTAGAGGCTGAGTTTCATCAAAAGTCATTATAATAAGAAAAAAGTCAATATAATGAAAAGAAAAGTCATTATAATTACTTTTCATAAAAAGAAAAGTGTGCGTGACAGAGTGCTTTCGTAGAACTATGTCCGCGTCTGGCGCGAGTGGCGCGTTTCCTCCTTATCAGCACGATGACTATTTTTGTCTCCCTTTCTCTAGCCAGACGCTAGTGTCATTGTCATTGTCATTATTGTCAAGTTGTGTCATGTCAATGTCATCATGATGTGTTTAATGAATATGTTATATCAATATTTTAATTATTTATTATTTTATTATTGAACTGAAGTTCCCGTTGATTTGCTTGTATCGATTGTTGATTTTGAGTTTTGTCTTATTATTATAATATGAGCTATGTCCAGCGTGAACAAGAATATGGCATGAATTTACTGAAAGTGAGAATTACGAATTGACATGACGTTAGAAGACCCATTTTTCGTTGTAAAAGAGTAAGCAACTTGAATGTTGAATGGTTTGCATGTTCAAAGTACCTATCTAGCAGTTTGAATTTGCATGATCACTTAGGTAAACGTATATTCATTTTATTTTTCTACTGGATTTGCAATACTGTCAGCTACAAAAATATTGATTTATTCAATACCACTTTTTGTAGTGAAGTATTCAAGGCCCTTAACAAAACAAGAGGACTTTATCTTAGATGGACTGAACTCCAGGATGATTCTGTCTCTATAACTAAGGATGAGATTGAATGGACCAATACTGAGTTGAAAAATTCACTGCGCAGTATAGAATGGGACCTAGAAGACTTAGAAGACACTATTGATATCCTTTTTAAAACAAGTTGTCAGTTTATGAATATTCTTGAGTATTGACTCCAGAAATTGGCTTTGAATTGATTAATTTTCTTAACTTTTCACACATATTGTAGAGAAAAATCCTTCTAAATTCAAGATAGATAACAAAGAAATTACAACAAGAAAACATTTCATTGATACAACTAAGAACGAAGTCAAGGTAGTTTGATACATATCTTAATTCATTAGAAATTCTCACATTTTATTTATCTTTTAGTTGATGAAAGAAAAGATAAACATGAATAGAAATAGGGATCGCATTGCAAGACAGGTAAGTTTATGACATTGTAGCTATGTTCAAAGATGAATATAAAAAATTTTTAGCCCCTTCTGGAAAGTAGTCCAGCCAGGGTTACTAACTCCCACAACACAACAAAATATTCCAAGCTGGAAAATGATCTGGATAGTCCCCAAAGACAATTCTTGAATGAAACTTTGAACCAACAGCAGTACTTGAGTAGGCAGCAAGAAGATCACTTGGAGGCTATTAGTGATTCTTTGGGCAGTTTGAAAATAGTTTCAAGGCATATAGGAGTGGAATTAGATGAACAAGCTGGGTATAAATTATCACTATTTCAGAAAACATTTTGTTGCTCTAGAAAAAAATTTCATTGAAATTCACTAACTTAGAATTCAGCATATCAACAAAAAATTAACATTCTTATAGAGAACACATATTTTAGGATGTTGGATGAGTTTGGAACAGAATTAGAAAATACTGATTCAAAATTGGATTCTACAATGAAGAAGGTTGCCAAAGTTCTGAGAATGTCTAATGGTATGTTATTCCCTTGATACTCAGATATATATCAATAGTTTTTATTTATTCATTTATAATCATCAATTATATTTTCAGAGGGAAGGCAGTGGACTGTCATTATTATACTAGTTTTACTTCTTATTATTGTGATATCTTTATTTTTCATTCTGTGATTTTTTTATATTTATTGCCATTTATTTCAGACTCAGTGTAAGTACAAAATTGAAACAATTCACACTAATTACACATTGTTTTTAGTACATTAAACCTATTCTTATTTATTGTTTTTGGTAGGTATTTTAATTTTAATAAGCCAAGTCATATTGAAATAGATAATGCAAGACCTTTCAGATCTAATGAAGAGTATCTTCCATTTAGTTAGAACTTTCCATCAACTTTTTTAGCTTTGGTTGGCTTGTTCATATATGTATTATACATTATATTTAAAAAATCATTCTCATGCTTCTTGTAGTATATTTTTTGTGAAAGGTTTATTTATAGAAATATTTATACCTACTTGCCATAAGGTGAAGATGACAGTATGTGCAATCCATAGAGTATGTTTTATTTATATTTTTATATATGTGTTGTTGGTGTTCAATATTATTATTATTTTTTAATTGTTGAGGTGCCATATGATATGGTCTGAGTTGTTAGAGGAAATTCATGTAATATTAGCAACAGATACAATAAATTGGTATTTTTTGTCCAATAAATTCAATCTAGGTTGAATTTGTGTTGATTTTGAATTTTTATTAGGTATACATGGATGTTACTAGTTTGATAAGAGTTCGGACACAGAAATGACAACGGTTAGGGTTTTTGAATGTTTAGATTTATTAAGTTTCAAACCCTGCATTGTGACAAGAGCACCATAGTCGTCCCGCGCTTTTTCATGCAAAATTGTTTGAATTTGACAATACAGTTTATAAACGTCAGAATTGAAATAAAATTTCATAATTATACATTCGAGATGAAAGCAGCTATGGAAATTACTTGCTGTGTAATAAATTGTGCCAATTCTGAAGAAAATGGATATCATTTATTCAATTTTCCGAAACAAATATCAACCATTCGCTTATGGAAGGAAGATATATGAAATGGCATAATGGGTGCAAAATCAATTTGAAGACGATCGAAATTTGTGAGGTACTCATTAGGATTCACTTTTTATAACAGCATCTGATTAGAATGAAACTATATTTTAGGCCCATCTTCAAACAGAAGATTTCAAAATCTGTTTGTGAGAATCTGCTGTTCCATCAATTTACAAAGCAGGCGATTTCGAGAAGAAAATTCCATTATTATCATCACACAAAATACAAAACGAAATGATCATGGAAAAGAGGAAATGATCGCAAAATTACATAATGAAATTGAAAATTTGAAAACGGAACTAAGAAAAGCAAGTAAACTACAGAGTTATATATTATTGAATGGCGTTTTTGGTGCCGACCAAATTTAAAATTCAACAGTGGAAAGTGAATAGTTATTCATGTATCAAGGGAATTATTATAAGGGCCTTAATTACGCTGGAGGTTGATGTTTTGGAGATATTTTCTATATCGATCCATGTTACTTTATTAGCTCCTAGGGCGCTAAGTGGAGTTGCTGAGAACTTTACAAAACCATAAGTATTTGGTAGGTCTTGTCAAAATAAACTACTTTTTTCCTATCAAATGTTTATCGAAAAATGATTTGTTATCTGTATTTCAGCACTCTGTATCTACGAAATGAAGCATTTTCGGACACAAAAGCTTATATAGACTTTATTTCTTATAATAGTCTCAGGAATACTTCACTTGAAAGTACTAATGTTACTTACTGTATATTGAGAATATCTACCTTTAATTTAATATAAATAACTTCATGTTTTATACTCATCACTGGAGTACAGTTTCACATATAATAAGGAATTATAGCTATAAGTTCATCCATATGTATATATTTTCTAATATTAAAATGTTGTTACATGCATTCTTTTCATTTATACATATAACAGTTGTTCTGTTAGAAGTGTATCACTATAAATTGAAGTGGGTGTTTGTACCCTATACCCATTGTCCATCTACGGCTATGATTGATTTGACAGAAAATATAACCTCTAAAATTGTATCTGACAATCAGGCACTACTAGGGAAATTGAAAAGACGAAGAGCAGAATATATGTCTTATTCTTTTATTCACCTAAACCATTGTATTATAGAAAATAGAAAAGGACAAAAGTTCAGCTGTGTCCGAACTCTTATCAAACTAATACCATCCAGTGACTCTAGTGATAGGTATCGACTATGTTCAGTGTATTGTGTGATTTTCATAGATATTCCAAAGCTGATATTAATTCTGTAATGAAATTATATCATTCACACAAGTTTTATATTTTTTTACTTTTGCTCATGGCATGATATGGTTATTTATAAGCATTACAAAATATTATTGTAGTTTTTGCAGGATTAGCACAAAATAGTTAATGTATATATATACAGATGATGTCTAAGTGATTATATATAATATACATTATTATTAGAGTTAGCACCAAAGAAGTGAAATTGGCATTCTGTATCTTTGTAGGTTTCTTCGTCGTTAATGTAATCAGATGGATAATGATATTTATATGATGATAAATAAATCATTTATAGCAAGAATAATCTTGTTTCAATTAAATCATGAATGAAAGTAGAAAAAGGTATAGGATTAATGATGAGGCTGACTGACAAAAAACGCTGCAACAAGTCATAGCATTGTTCTGATAGAGATTTTTTTATAATTATGCTGAATTGGAAAATTCTACGAGATTTATTGTGACCAATGAAAAAATAAACTTTGGGAATGCTTCGCATTCTTTAGACTTGTCATCTACCACTGTGTGTACTCGCCTTCAGTGAAGTTCTGTGGTTCTCTATGACAATGACAGTTAGGTCAATGCATATATGTACTACTCATATATGAGGCATAGCTGTCCTCGAAGCGGGACCAACTTCCGTCTTCCGTAGGTAACGAAATCGACCAATAGGCGTTGATGCCGGCGTAGGGAAAAAATAATACGAAACTTGTCAAACCAATATGGCTGTTTCCGTCCTTATAGATTCAAAAAGAACCTCTAATTTTAGGCCTGTTCGTTTGTATTGCTAAACTTGCTAAGGTTGATTTTCTTCCCATAGTTGTCTCTGTTCATAGCATGATGTAAACAGAGAGTCATGGAAAAAATCAAGTTCAGTAGGTAGAGCAAGCACAAACGAACAGGCCTTTTTCGTTCTCATTTTTGTTGAGATATCGTATAGGCGATGCGCCATATATAGAAATAGTAAATATATGGGTCAATGGCAATGTCAATGGGTGTTTTCATGAATTTTGACAATGACAATCAAAACAAAAAAAGGAACTGAAAACTAAACAAAAACAAGACATTTTTAATTGGAATAAAGGCAAGAAAAATCATGTAAAGTGAGTATACAATCTTCCAAATGAACCATATTTAATTTCAGATGTTGTCAAATGAATATCAAGAGGTAACGCTTGGAGAAGTGAATGAAGCCCTCAAAGAAATAGAAAACAAGTATTCCAATGGTATTCCAAATATAAATAGTGACAGTGATGGTTTTGAAGAAACTTTGGCTGTATTGTCTAAGGTAACATTTTCAACATTGTGAATACCTCCACATCCGAATTTCATTTTTCTTCATGGCATTGCATCCCTCAGGAATATGACTCTGTTGGTCTACCAACTTTGGACCTATCAGCTTCCATTTGGAAAGTATTTAAACAAGTTGTCAGTGGTGCTCGTTCTCTAATACAAATACATAGAAGAACTATAGCTAAAATGAAGGATGTGAACATTGATAATAGATGTAAAGATACAAGAAGTGGGGAATTATATGTGAGAATATTAGTCTTAGTGGAAAGAGATGTAGGTAGAATGACTTTTTTTTATAGAAAATTATTGATGATTGCAAAACTGACATAGATAAGGCTGAAGAGAAAAATTCTGCACTGAAAAATAAAATGAAAGCACTTCTACAAGAAATCTCCAACTTGAAAAAATATGAAAGAGTCTTGAGAACAGAGATGGAACAAGTAAAGAGAATCAATACAGCCCAACAGAATCAATTGACTCTAGAAATCAAGAAACTGACAAGAGAGAACCAAAGATTAAAGGAGACTTTAGGAACAGACCTAAGTGAGAAATATTGTAGTTTGTTATAGAATACATACTCAATTGAATTCTGATTATTTTCAGATATTTATCAATCCAAAGACCAAGTAGTCCTGAAGCTATTGGGGAAATATAAGTCCAATGAAGACATTTTCAAGAGTACAATTCAAAAATTGCAAGGAAACAACAAAGAATTACTACATGAAGTATTTAGTCTAAGAGAACAACTTAGCAATGTTTCTAAGGATTGTGACTCAGCTGACTGATTTATTCAAGATTTATATTTTTTTGTCCCATACTTTTTTGTATCCAGCTGACTGACTTTTTATACTGATTTTATACTGTTAAATGTGACCATGAAAGTATAATATTTTCCTGAATAATTGATCTGGTATAATTTCAAATCCACCCATATGATATAATTATATCCACATGAATATAGCAAAAAAAAAGGTGACAAAAATATTAATTTCCAGTAGGAACATATACAGTGTTCCTCAAAATTTGACCCACAAACTTGCCACTTTTGAAATAATACTGAACTTCTATGAGTGGTCATTATTTTTAAAAGGACATGAGAAAATGATCATAAAATAACAACAAGAGAGCATAATATTACCATAAAACTCATAAAAGTGTATTGAAGATCCGATCAAATCCTTGTCAACAAAACGGGACATATATAATATAGGTCAGGAAAAAAATCAATACCATGTTGAAGGAACAAGAGAAAAAAAGAACCGGGTACAAACAGCCACTGCAATGCACTTCGGGTCTTGCAGGAGAAAATGCACCAGTGGCGTAGATATAATTTTCTCTATTTTATAGTAGGTACCTACTTCGAAAGAACCTGTTTCAAATCCTTTTTCTTGTGTTCATTCTGCTGAAGGGTGTTTCACCTACCTATCCTAATGAACTCAATATAAACAACTATATTATGATTGTTATCTAACAATTCGTGATTATAGGAACACCGCGATAGACACAGAATCACAGAAATAATAAGAACTTACTTCTAACGTCATGGCCGTATAAAGCTGGAAACTGAGACATAATTCAACTTTAAAATACTGGAAATGATCATAGGATAAAAGCACCATAACCAAAACGAATGAATGAAATAAACATAACCTACATTAAATTTCGAATTCTGACAGATGAACTCAGATTTTCTTCTTCTCATTTTACTTCTCTCAAAATTTGTTGCCACAATGGACATCCGACAATGAACTTAGGTATGGATGTCCAATATATGTATATACATATAAAATAGGCTTCCAGATAGATCATCGCAGCTTGGCTTACAACGATGTACATCAAAAGATAGTTCCATTTGGCGTCCATCATGATGGATGTCTTGGACCTCAAATGGCGATATAAAATGGATGTCCTCTGGATAACATATATGTGTAATTAGGGATACCTAGCACTCGACGTCTTGGGGACGCGCCTATTTCACGTCCGATTTAGGTCTGGACGTCCGGGACATTTTCAAGACGTACCTATCTATACATACTGAATACGTCCATTTCTAGATGTACTGATGGGTATACGTACGATTCCCATGTACGTCCAACTCTGGACGTGGTCGACTTTTTCGCCATCGCATATAATTTCTACCATCGATCTCTTATATTATTGCAAACTTGAACATAAAGCAATTCTCACATTTTATTTTTTACTGGCCGTACCTAATCACAAAACATATAGGTATCTGATGTATAGGATTTATCTGCCGTGATCATCTAATTCTATAAGTATCGATGTGAAGGGTCAATCGACATTCGCACATAGCACATAATAAGTGTTCTCTGTAGAGTAATATAGCGCAAAACTCACCACCTGATAGCGATTGATCAGGTCCCTCATACCCCCACTGATGGGTATCCACAGTAAGACCATATCGTTCACCAATATTCTAATTTGGTTTTATCATGTTTTATAAAGGGCTCGGCCCTAGGTCTGGCTGGATAGGCATATAAAACAAGATGATTTATATATACAGGGTGTCTGTAAAAGGTTGGGACATTGCTCGGCTGTGGACTCCTGGGATAAAAACAAATTGATTTAGGCCAACTTACCTATATCCAAAATCGTCTCGTTGAGTTGGTACAAGGCGTTGAAGTTTTTTGGAAAAAAAATGATTAAAAATTTAGTGATAACTTTTCAGAGGTCAGGCTGGAAACCCTCATATGTTTTTTGCATAAAGATATTTCCTTCAGCAATATTTTTTGTATCGTGTTAATTTTTGATATGTCTCGAGGTTCATTTGCAAATAAATAATTTCTGATCTGATCCATCCTGCGCATTTTTGCAAATAGATCTAATTAGTCGGACTGTTTATTGATCATGGCTAGACTATATTCTAATTGTGAACAAACTGATATATGTTGCTGGTCCTCGCGGGCTTTACAAGAACTCTCGCGTTACAAATTTAGTGATAACTATTCAGGACCTATAAGGTGCGAGATAATACTTTAACACGTGGTAACGCTTGTACCAATTCAACGAAACGATTTTGGATATATAGGTAAGTTGGCTAAAATAAACTGATTTTCATCCCAGGAGTATACAGTCAAGCCATGTCCCAACCAGATAATTTAAAAAAAATGCATAAGATGCCTCAGATCATAAATTATTCATTTGCAAATGAACCTCGAGACTTATCAAAAATTAACACGATACAAAAAATATTTCTGAACTGATTATCTTTCTGGAAAAAACATATGAACGTTTCCAGTCTGACCTCTGAAGAGTTATCACCAAATTGGTACAGCAACATGGTTGTTTGAAACACTTGCAGGTCACTGATGATGATCAAAACCATCTCAAAACGTGACTTACAGCCACAGAACATGCCATGCCAAAAATTATGAAGTTCGATCGCCTACTCTTTTTATAAGCAAAATTATTTTTTTCCAAAAAAAACTTCAACGCCTTGTACCAACTCAACGTGACGATTTTGGATTTAGGTAAGTTGGACTAAATCAACTTGTTTTTATACAAAGAGAGTCCACAGCCGAGCCATGTCCCAACATTTTACAGACACCCTGTATATAATGAACCTATACGTCCTGAAACCTCCTGTATAAAATAATATATATGAAAATCTTGGCTGAACCCATTCCAGCATTCAAATCAATTCCCGTTTATTAATTATGGAAATCAAAAAGCGCTTCTTCGCGCCACTGACACAAACCAATGAACAAAGATGGACGTATCCTCGTGTCGGAATGTTTATTGAACTCTCATTGTTCCTTTTGTTTGTTATACTAGCAATAAAGGCATCAAAACAGTTCATTCATCGGCTGCAAGGCAAAATAGATAAGTAAAACATGAAGTTGTGAAACTCGAGAACTGCAAAACGAGGAAAACGAAATCGCACACCTCAATCCATGGTCAGGGACAGGGATTGGAAGATTACGATTCTCTCTCTGCGATGACAGAGTAAACCTGTCCCACATCAAACGTACCCACTGACTTAATAATTAAATAAATACTAGTTTAAAAACTAGAAAAAATACGCTTTTATAAATAACCAAACTGAAAAGAAGTAGAAATAAGTAATATAGGTAGTAGGTATTTATGTATCAAAGGCGTAAAATAGGATTTTATGATGGACCGTAGCGTGTAAGTGTGAGTGAAAATATAAACTCTTCAAGATTCTGAGTTATAACTCGGCGTCTTAATTCCGACTTATTTCGGAATTTTAAATTTGCGTGTTATAACTCGGAATTTTAAACTTCCAGGATATAGGTACTCAAGTCGGAATTTTAAAATTCTGTGTAACTCTGTTCTCAAATTCTTATCGTGTATGTTCAATAGATGTAATTCAATGTTCGTCGTGGCATATAGGCAGGAAAGTAGTTGTTTTCTGTTGAATAATAAACCGAGAAAGAATTGATATTTTCATCACATCATAGAGAATGCGAATTCTCAATGTATTTCTTTATATATAAATATCCATTTTTCATGTTCATAATAATATCTGAGAATATTATTCCTTTTCAATACTTTCACCCAATCAAGGGGTTCAAATTCGAACGATGGAAACTTATTTTTATAGACCTCAATCGCGGATTCGTGATTAGGTTTTCTCAATTCAGAATTTCTTTCCACGCCCTGTATGATGAATTTCAATAATTCATCATACATTCAGAGAGCATAAATGTAATTAATATGATTGCGAGCTAGGGTATCGAATTCGAAAGGTCAGTACAAGGAAAAAAAAGTTTTGTTGCACCAAAAAAAATTTTGATCATTTTTTTTGTTGAATTAAACACAATTTTTCGAAATGAACCGAATATATGTTCATTCCAAATAAGCGACTCACTCAAAGAGACAAAATAATTTGATTGAAATATTTGCTTAGGTACTTTAACAAAAGTTTCATTTCATTCAACAACATTTATAGTTGAAATAAAACAAATTTTGTTGTCCAACTATCATCTCATTGTTCAATCTATCATATGCATCTTGTCTATTTGAAGAAATTAAATTAATTTTGACAAAGATTTAACTAAGTACAACATCATATTTTGTTGATTTAACAATCATTTCATTGTGCAACCAATCGAAGGTTTTTTTCTATTCGACAAAATTGAATTGATTATGACAACATTATATTTTGTTGATTCAACACATCATTATCAAGAAATCTGTTGTTATTTCAAACAGATTATTTTGTTGAACAGAACCCACAGATACATTATATGAAACAAATATTTTGTTGAATGATTACCAAGTTGCATTGGGGTGTACATATAGCTACCTAGAATATCCGTATATATTAAGCTGTCCTAGAATTTCCAATGACGCTTATACAAGCTAATAGTCTTGAATCATCATCTCTAATTTCTCTTAGTTCTGAAATACAGTTAATGGCATTTTTTCAAATATTCAACAAAATATGTTGTCAATTCTAAATACAATTTTGTTGATCGAATGAATTGTTTCATTGAATGAAAAAAAAAATTCTATATTCAGAATATACCTATACCTATTGTTATTTTTAAATTCTCGGGGGAACTGAGAATTTTGTCACTTTAATGAGATAATATGATCATTTCAATCTACAGAATCGGTTAATTCATTAGAGCAGATATTGTATTATAGGAACAAAATAGTCTTTGTTTATTTAACAAATTCCTGCTGTCAATTCGAATCATTAATGAGTAAAATCAAATGAATTTCAAGTTGAAAACTGACAAAAAAAATTTGTTGCGGCAACAAAATATTTGGTCGTGGATATATGACACTCAGATTTTGTTGAATTTACATCAAGAATTTTGAACAGCCTACTGGCGGCACATTTGTAAATCCGCCACTGAAGAGAGAAATTGGAATCGTAAAAATATGAGTGAATGCCTCGTTACGTCCAAAT